ATTGAAGTGAGCACACTCACACATATATATTTAAGGAGCACACTCACACATATATATATATATTGAAGAAGCACACTCAGACATAATATGTAGTCAAGGAGCACACTCACACACATATATATATATAATCAAGCAGCACACTCAGACAAATATATATATATTCAAGAAGCACACTCAAACATATATATATTCAAGAAGCACACTCTGACATAATATATATTCAAGGAGCACACTCACACATATGTATATAATCAAACAGCACATTCAGACATATATATATTCAAGGAGCACACTCAGACATATATACATATATATATATTCAAAAACCACAGTCAGATATATATATATATATTCAAGCAGCACTCTCAGACATATATATATTGAACAACCTGATATTTCTTCTTTTTTTTCTCAACAGGACGAAAACAGATCGAAAAGTTTGTTTCAACTTGATACTGTTATGTAAGACCAAGAGATGGCGTCGTAAAGATCAAGATTTCCATATCAGACTGTCCTCAAAACACTGCACCTTTCTTCTTTTGGATAATAAGACTTACAGCTTACTAGTGGATATTTCTTTTTTACGGTGTTATTCAAGCAAATAACCAGAAAGAAAAGCAGTTCACGCTCGATTAAATTCGAGATTTTGTAGGTTGGTGATCAGAAGAAAGTTAATTCTCAATACAGCACGTGCGTCTTTTGAGGCCAATGATTCAGAGCTCCCCACTTTACACTTTGAAGCATGCTCAAATACATAGTTCATTTCTTTACTGAAACTTTACTTATTGTTAGGCTGATTTCATCTTTTACAGTAAGTTTATCAATAATGAGCTGCATGTTGTTGACTTTTCTCTTAGAAAGATGAAAATTTTCATTGAACAACTTCCTCATGTCGAAAACGAAATTTTGTAGATGTCATTGATTAGCGCTTTAGTACATTTATGTAACAAACCTCTGCAGATGATTACTGTACTAAACAAAAGTCAGAAGGATGTAAACTCTCTGATTACAGGTCCTTTTAGATGTATCAAAAAATAAATTCGATCTCTGATTACAGGTCATTTTCGATGGATCAAAAGTAAATCCGAATTATTTAACTAGGGATTGTTCAAGTTTATAAAATATATTTATAATTATTTTGACTAATGGTAGTTTTGACTTTATTAAAGTAAAGACTCCAAATATTTGATTGATTATAGCTCAAAATTATTAAAAGGAAATCCAATCTTTTTATATATATGTTTATTTACCATTTATTAAACAAAATGTCTAAAATTTTTAATGAGCGATAGTTTAACATTTATTAAGACAGATGTCTAAACCTTTAATTAAAAATAATTTAGCATTTATGAAGATGGATGTCTAAGTTATTTGATTAATGATAATTCAAGTTTATAAAAATTGAAATACTAGCTAGTTAACCCATTGTGACATCGTATTTATCAAGACAGACAACGCGTCGGCCAACTCATCACTATCTACAACTTTTACCCCTTGTTCTAACAACGTTAAGACGGCTTATCTACTTCTAGAGAAGAATTCTAAGAAGAAAGTAAACCTACAGACATCGGTCTTATTTAACAAAATTTGCCTACAACAAAATCTGTCACCAAAGTACACCAACAAGACAGACATCTGAACATTCACTTAATGATGCCTCATCTATCGAAAGCTACGTATAGTTATCCAGTTATCCCATTGCTGTAGTTGTTGGAAAACTGATTCATTTCTATAATCCCACATAAGGTAATACAAATAATATGGTCAATTTTATTTTATGTTGTTTTTACATTTTTTGTTTTATTTTGACATTCCGAATTGAATTTTGAGAAGCACGTGAATATTGAAGAGACGTAATAATGTAAAAGAATGGTTCAAGTGTCTGTAAATCAAACAATTATTAACATTATTAAATAAAGATATTATCAACATTATTAAATAAATATATTATCAACATTATTAGATAAATATATTATCAACATTATTAAATAAATATGTTATCAACATTATTAAATAAAGATATTATCAACAGTATTAAATAAAGATATTATCAACATTATTAAATAAATATATTATCAACATTATTAAATAAAGATATTATCAACAGTATTAAATAAATATATTATCAACATTATTAAATGGAGATATTATCAACATTATTAAATAAATATATTATCAACATTATTAAATAAATATATTATCAACAGTATTAAATAAAAATATTATCAACAGTATTAAATAAAGATATTATCAACAGTATTAAATAAAGATATTATCAACATTATTAAATAAATATATTATCATCAGTATTAAATCAAACAATTATCAACAGTATTGAATAAATATATTATAAACAGTATTAAATAAAGATATTATCAACAGTATTAAATAAAGATATTATCAACAGTATTAAATAAAGATATTATCAACATTATTAAATAAAGATATTATCAGCAGTATTAAATAAAGATATTATCAACAGTATTAAACAAAGATGTTATCAACAGTATTAAATAAAGATATTATCAACAGTATTAAATAAATATATTATCAACATTATTAAATAAATATATTATCAACATTATTAA